TATGATAATGGGGCTATAATGCTTTAACAAGACAGCACACAGAGTAAATGGCTCCTTAGCTGAGAAAGCAGGATGAAATGGTTCTTTTATCTTCATTGTCCATAAAGGATCCAGGTAAGAGGGGGTTTTCTCCACCCCCCCCAACACACAACAGCAAATATTCCATAAGCAAAATAATCCCCATTAAAGCTGTTTCTTGGGCCTAAAAGCTTTTAAGAAAGGTGATGTCAGCTTTGTAATAGTCTTTTTTCCTCTGCAGTGTACTTTACTAGTGTTCATGAGTATCTGGTTCTCTTCTTCTGGACCCCAGATTACCCTTCTCAGCCGGGGTAGTCCGTGGATGTGGCTAGTTCCGGCCAATGAGCTGTGAGAGGAAGGAATGTGTTCTTCCTGGCTGAAGCACAGAAGGGCAGGTGTGAGATCCACAGATGCTCTTCCCTGTTATAGTAACCCAGGAGGCTGAGTGTTGGAGACAGTGCAGATACAAGTCAAGAAGCTTCTATCCATCCATTGCTGACCCTCAGCAAACATGTAGCTTGAGTAAGAAATAAACGTGTGTTGTGTCATACTGAGATCTGAGGAGCTGTTTGTTACCATCTCATAACCTAATCTGATTATTACACATTCTCACTCTTCACAAAAGCCATTGAGAAGTCAGTGACTCCAGAATTGAAGTTCTTATGCTAATATGATCCCAATTTGAAATCTTCAGGAAAACAACTTGCCCATTTTATTGTGATGTCATTGGCTCTGTGGATCTCAACTCCTACCATCCAACACTGTTAAATGAAGGTCCAGCCAGAGATGGCAAATATATAGTCTCTCTTGGGTAAACTGGGATTGATTCCTGATGGCTGCCCAAAGTGGTGTTTTGGTTTTTTTGTGTTTTTTTTTTTTTAAGATTTATTTCTTTTATTTTGAGAGAGAGCATGTGTGAGCCCAAGTGTGAGCGCAGTAGGGGAGGGGTAGAGGGAGAGAAAGAATCTCAAGCAGACTCCCCATTGAGCGCAAAGCCCCACTTAGGGCTTGATCTCAGGACCCTGAGATCATTAGCTGAGCTGAAATCAAGAGTCAGATGCTTAACCGACTGAGACACCCAAGTGCCCCCAAAGTGACATTTTGAAAACAATTCTAAGGCCAAGTCTGGGCTCTGTAGGTAGATAGCACAGTTGATTTGTGATGTCTGTTGTGGGCGTGGGCACAAGGAGGAGAGGCATGGGTTATCGTATCCACCATCCTTGTATCTTACTACTTTCAAGGAGATTCACATCCTGTCCTGAAATACCTCCATGGAGAAAAAGAATTACACAGGAGACTCAGCACTAGTCCATTCTGAACTTGCAGACTTGATCAGGGATCTTAACCAGAGTATCAGAGTCATATTCCAAAAGGATGCTGCCCGATATCTTACTTGAGGAAGTAACTGTTCTTTGTGACAAACCACCAGAGAGCCTGATACATAAAGCAGTCAGCACTCAGACACGTCAGTCCTTCTAAACCACCACCAAGACTCTCTACTTAGCCTCCTTTCTAAAATCATCCCACCGTTTGCCTGAGAGACACACCCAAGGTGAGGCTGGGGTAGAAGACTCCCAAGTGCAGATAAAATGTGAATGCATAGGGCGTGGCTGTCCCATGGGAGCATGGGTTTCTTGTTCTTCTCCCTCCTCCTGTTTACCTAGACCCCCAGCTCTCAGCAGGACCGCCACCAGCACACCAGGGATGGACAAACCTTTGCTGAGTACCACTGTGAATCCAGCCTGTGAGCCATTCCACAGCATCAGCTCATTGAACCTTTACAATAATCCTAGGAGGCAGATACTATTTTATTTTTATAAAGGTGGAATCTCAAGCAAAGAGAAGTTAAGGATCCAGCCCAAAGTCTCAGTAAGTCAATCTGGAAATGTTTGACTCCAGAGCCCAAGCGTGGTCGAGGATGTGACAGAAGGAAATGAATGTGATTGGTTGCTAGAATCTTTAGTTCAGGAGAAGGAAGAGATTAAAAATTACCAATATGAGATCATTTCGTGTAGTGGTTAATAACAGGAGCTTCAGAGTCAAAGAGGCTTTAGTTCGAGACCTGGACCAACAGTTGTTTTTACCTGTGAGACCACAGACAAGTGATTCATTTTTCTCATCTGTAAAGTTGGAATGCTTACAGGATTTACTTCATCTTCCTGTGAGGACTTAGTGAGATTATACATATGAAGTGATTAGTAGACTCTAGCATATGGTAAATATTTTTTTAAAAAAGCTCTTATTATTCTCAATGATTTATCATTCTTTCCTCCATGCCTAATTTTCACATGGGGAAGCTTAAATTGGTTGTTTTATATTAAAGTTGACTGAGTGGAAAAAATAATGTCTCTTTTAGAGAAAATTTCTGCCAAATAAATGTCAACTTTACTAAGATCTAAAAACCTTTTTAACTGATCCACTTAGGGATTTTGCCTCATGTCTGTTTCTTTCAGTTTTATATTATGATATAGTGCAACCAAATACTATATCTTATATTGCTTCAGACTCAAAAAAGCATTTACAACATGGCCCTGAGGGCTGATTCATTATTTTATGAAAGTCAAAAAAGGTCAGACTTTCTCCTTAACCTCATTAAAAGTATAGAGTTACAATAACCGCTGTTCCTTCATTGAGATTATTCAGAACCACCATCAAAAGAAAAACCATCTAGCAGTAGGTCTGAATTGCCAATTGAAAGCCTGGAAATACAAGCCTCAGCTATCAAGGGTCACCATGACGTATTAAGGAAATATATCAGTCAGGGCTCCAGAGAAACAAAAACAACAGGAGTGTGTGTGTGTGTGTGTCTGTGTGTGTGTCTCTCTGTGTGTGTCTGTGTGTGTGTGTGTGTGTGTGTCTAACTACTGAGAGAGAGAGAGAGAGATTTATTTTAAGGAATTGGTTCATGTGATTGTAGAGGCTAGCAGCAAGTCCAAAATCTGCCAGGTAAGCTGGCAGGCTGGAGCCCCAGGGAAGAGTTGCAGGGTGAGACTGTGGGCAATCTTCTGCCAGAATTCCTTTTCGCCTGAGAGACGTCATTCTCTTTCAAGGAAGGCCTTCCAATGATTGGATGAAACCTACTCGCATTAGGGAGGATGATGTGCTTTACTCAGAGTCTACTGATTTAAATTTTAGCTCATTAAAAAAATAAATGCAGAAACACTTAGAATAATATTTGATCAAATATCTGGGTATCATGGCCTCGACAGGTTGATGCATAAAATTAATCATGACCCAAAGTCATGTTTTATTTGGGGGTAGGGTGTTCTCAAGCATAAAGATCACCTGCATCCTATATCAAGCAAATACATCCCAATAGTCCTGCAAAAATCCATCTGTCCCTTTGAAGAAAAGGAAGATAATAGTGTTGTTATTCCCTGACCACTCTATAAGATGTTGCCTAATCTGAGTCTGTCCTCTGCTTTTCTTACCACTGTTGCAACCCACACTGTATCTGCAAGTTCCCTGGGCGAGTATAATAGAAGCAAAGGCATGTACAGATTTTATGATGACACAGAAGAAAGGGAAGGTCCCTGTCTTTTTAGTGGCTGTTAAAGAGATTCTCAACCAGATGTCTCCATAGGCTTCAATAAGATGTTACTTTCCTTTCATTTAAAATGTGTTTAATTTTTTTTTTCTACACGTTAATGTCTGAAAATAGCTCAGTGAAGAGTAGAACTGCTCCCTTTATCCAGGCACTTGTTAAGAGTGTGCGGGTGCAGGCTGAAGACTGAACAACAGCCGCTGGAGAGAGCGTGGTGAGATATAACAATGAGAATCCTGTTGCCCAGCTATGAGGAGTAAGAGACTGACCCGATGTAAAACGGTAGGATTTGAGCTTCATGTCTTCCATTTACTCTCCGATGTCGCCCTCCGTTATTCCGCCTGCTGCTGCGTGCTCTGTGCCCTAGAAAACTGACCTCTGATGGAGACTGGCTACTGTGCCACTGTGGTCAGCCAATGACAGCAATGGTGAGAGGTGGAAGGAAGAAGGAAAATAAGGACTTGGTATTTATTTTGAGGCTCCCTCCCTGAGAGGGCCCATTGGGCTAGCTGTGTCCCTCAACCCAAAGTCACAGCTCCTTTCAGCCACCCTTTCCACAGGACTCCTGGGTCCCCTTCAGATCTAGGGCAGTACCTGCTCCTCAGTGTTGCCAGCCCGGGGGGCGGCCTGCACTCTCAGTCCGGCTAGCCTCTCATCTGGCCACAACTTGTGCAAAAGCTCTTCCAATTACCTAATTTGAGTGTGTCATCTCTGCTGGTTGGGACTGACTTAAAAGGTATTCCACATGTTATTTCTTGCTTTGTCTGAAGAGTTGAGATAATAAAAATCCTCAAAAACATTTCTGAGTTTTTTGCAATCCACAAATGAACAGATACCTTCTGATGTTACTCAATGTTCTTTAAGCACCATGTAATAATTTCCTCATAAATCCAAAGCCCAACACAAATGTTCTTTATCCTGCCCCGAGAATTACATAATCCTTGGTGTTTCTCTTTTTATCCTAGTTTCAAGGAAGCTCAGTGTTGAACTCACTGTTCATTGTCAATAATTAATTCAACTGAGTACCCAGTTATAACTATTTCTCTGCTCCTTGAAATGTTTTTTTAAAAACTGGTTTTCATCCCGTTTTGCTACTGTCTTTTTCCCCCCCACTGGTTTTGGTCTTGTGAGTCATCTAAATTCTTTTGGGAGTAAGGAGAAAATACATCCTAATTAGTAAACATTTCAAAATAAAAATCAGGCCTGGATCAGCGTGAAACCTAGGTTCACAAGGGTCCTCTTGAAAACAAGCCCCAGAAGCAAGAGGCAGAGTTCCAGGAAAAAGGTGGATCCCACCCAAGGCACCTGGGTCCAGGCAGTAAATCCATAACCAGCCCCTTTTTTCCACCATTGGAAGCAACCCCACCCCTGGATAGTAAGTCTGTTTATTTAGTTCCCCAAGGGGCTTAATAGATATTTAGGAAAGATCCAAACTTACTCTTGGTGTGGCGCTCCTGTCTTTGTCAGCAAAGTCAGCACAAAAAACATGAAAATCACGAAGACGGCAAGACCAACCCAAAATCCAATCACAATGGAATCTGTAAACAGTTAATACTGGGATTAGTACTTCACGGCAGCTTAAAACTTGAACATTCAAGAATCTGAGTTTTTTGCTACCCACAATAAGAGAAGAAAGTGGACAATCTGAGAAGACAATCTTGACCCATTAGTCGACTGGGGGCAGGTAAGATGTAGGGAATGAGGGCGAGGGAGGGGCCTGCATGCCTCCAGGTTTCTGTCTCAGATAGCTTTGAGAAACTTTGGCCTTATTGATTCTTGGTTTCCGTATCTTAACAAAGGAACCCAGGACAGAGGGTAGACCACCTAGGTCCTTAATATTCCACTGAAGTTTCCTGAGTTAGAAAATATCCTTTTTAGCAGAGACTGCAATGTGAAATTTAAAATAAATTCTGGGGGTGCCTAGCTGGCTCAGTCGGTAGGAGCATGCAACTCTTGATGTCACGGTCATGAGTTCAAGCCCCATGTTGAGCGTGGAGCCTACTTAATTAAAATGAATTTTAATTCAAAGGAACCCAATTTTGTATTTTCACTTACATTCATGCAGGAATAACTCAAGTCCTCATTATTTCTTGAGGAGAACATGCAAATAACCTCCTGCGTTCTCTCCCTGTCTTCTACCTTTCCTCTGTCTCATCTGTGGATGAAACTACTTTATGACAACTCTGTTAATATTGCTCCTTTATAAAAAACTCTTCGGCAAAGCAAAAACAAAACAAACAAAAAAACTCTTTGGCAAAACTAGGCTTGACCTTTTCCAAATTAAAAGAGATTCCATATGTAAAGCACTTTCTACAATGTCTGGCGTCTGAGAAAAACGCGCCTCATTTTTGCCAGCTATTATGGTTAAAATTATCATCGGTTTCTCCCAGTTTACCTATACTTTAAAACCCATGTTTCCAAGTAGACAAGGGAACACTGTGTCCCTGTATTTACCTTAACTCTTAGCCATAACTTCCTAAGATCCACACCTTTTCAGGGGCTCTTACCCTCACCTGGTTGGAACAACTTTCCCCAACATAGAGCTAATGAAAGTCTATCCATCCTTCAATGCCCAGTCCTTACACCATCTCCCTCACAAAGCCTGGACTAACTTCCCTAACTGATGTGTTTTCTCCCTCCTCTGAACCCTGTGACATGTTTATGCTTCTCTACATGGGCCCTTCCTTGATCCTATCTTGGGTAATAATCACAAGTGTATGTCCTTGGGACAGGGATGACACTGGATTGTCTACACAAGATGGCACATACATTATAGGGTCTCAAATCTGGGGGAGGCACCAAAGTTGAATTATTTTACATTTTCTTAAGTTTTTTAAATTTAAATTCAGTTAATGAACATATAGTATATTATTAGTTTCAGAGGTAGAGTTTAGTGATCCATCAGTTGTATATAACACCCAGTGCTCATTACATCAAGTGCCCTCCTTAATTCCCATCACCCCATCCACCTCCCCTCCAACAACCCTATTTGTTTCCTTTGGTTAAGAGTCTCTTATGGTTTGTCTCCCTCTCTGATTTAGTCTTACTTTATTTTTCCCTCCCTTTTCCTATGATCCTCTGTTTTGTTTCTTAAATTCCACATATGAGTGAAATCATATGATAACTGTCTTTCTCTGATTGACTTATTTCACTTACCATAATACCCTCTAGTTCCATCCACGTTGTTGCAAATGGCAAGATATCATTCTTTTTGATGGCTGAGTAATATCCCATTGTATCTCTATACCACGTCTTCTTTATTCATTCATCTGTCAATGGACATGGGCTCTTTCCATATTTTGGCGATTGTGGACATTGCTGCTATAAACACTGGGGTACAGCTGCCCCTTCAGATCACTATATTTGTATCCTTTGGGTAAATACCCAGTAGTACAATTGCTGGGTCATAGGGTAGCTCTATTTTCAACTTCTTGAGGAATCTTCATACTGTTTTCCAGAGTAGCTGCACCAGCTTGCATTCCCAGGATTTCTCCGCATCCTTGCCAATGAGATACCACCTCACACCAGTCAGAACGGCTAAAAATATTTTACATTTTCTGATCTATTCTAAGTTTACCTACATGAGATTACAGTGAGAATGCTTAGAAATTTAAAAAAACAAAAACACATTAAGTTTTAAAAAAACACACAAATGTGTTTAATGCAAAGCATTATTCTAATTAAATTATGTATTGCCCTTTTTCTGAAGTTAAGAAATCAGATTAGCAATTTACTCTGAATAATTCATATTTCATTCTACATATAGGATTGCCCTGAAGTTAATGTTTATTCAACAATGTTTATTCAGTGCTCTGGACACAGAACTAACACATCTTTCCTTGGATTAAGAATGCCAAAGAAATAGAAATTGTAGACTTTGCCTTGAAGCCTAAAAATGACAAAAGGACAAATACCAAAGAAACACATGTACACGAATGCAACCAACATGCAATGAAAACATCTCAGTTGGGGGAGCGCAGCCTGTGAAGCCCCACTGTACAGATAATGACAGTTCAGGATGCTATACGTCATCAACTGCCTGCATAGCAAAAGCAAATTCTAAAAGTATATGCAAGAATTATACTGAAGTTCTCAGTTGAGAATTTAACCTAGTCATGTTGATTCACATTGGAAGGTGTTCGCATTAGGACAGGTTTCACACTGCAAACATGGCTGGATCCCCATCAGTCTTTCACTTCTCTAGCTCAGGGTGGGCAGGGAGGGAGGAGGGGTGCCTTTAACCCAGCCTAGTTCCTTCTCTCTGCCTTTCTAGCGCCCCAGGGAGCTGTTCAAAAGGCAGCAATAATGTGGGGCAGGCGAAGGTCACGGCCTTCCCTTGAAGTCATAGGGGAGCAGACTAGGGAGGATCGGGCCTATGGTTAGAACTTGAGAATGCCAGTGATCCAACAGCATTTCCAAATGCTTCCTTAATGACACGCATCTACATTTCCTATCACAATATGCTTTCAGTGGCTCTGTTTATTCACATGCCTCTTCAAACGGAATTTTGCTTCCTCTAATTGTTTCCATTAATTTTCCTCTACCTCATCCTCTGCCACATGGCCTGACCCTAGGGCACTTTCTTACCCAGAGCCCCTTTCGGGGAATATCAGAGATCCCCATCTCATCCCAGGAATATCCAAATGCTCTTGCAGTTTTATTTATATACCAAGTTTCATGGACATGGGCATGGCAGTCAAACAGGGAAAGCAGAGCCCCTGGCCCTCTCCAAAGCACCCTTCCCTGAGAAGGATTCAAAATAAAGGTTTATAGAAAGTGAAACTCCAATGACTCCAGTTGGTTAAGGAAACCAAGAGAAGCCTTCCAAAGGTGTTTCTAACAGAGCCCAGCAGCCACTTCTGTCCTGTCTAGGAACTGAACAATTTAGAGGTCATTACAGTAAAGGGGTAGGGTAAATTGCCAAGGGGAATTCTAAATGGAATGTGTCATAATAAAATAACTTCCCTTCAACCTGACCATTAATAAATGGAATGAAACAGAGCAGAAAGCTGACGGCCTGGCTTTTACTGGTGTGATCCAGTTTCTCCATGATCATCTCTTCTTCTCTAGGGTCAGACTAGGGCCAACTACCCCATCCCAGTCCCCTCCTTCCCACCTCCTAAGACCAAATTGTGACCTTTCCATCTCGTGGTTATATGAAAAACAAGGATTAATACTTAACTGGAAGAGAAGATTCAGGATCTAGAGCCAGAACTGTCCTCAAAGCACTTCTGGTTTCTAATGCATTAGGGCCAATTTTGTGGTATGAATTCCGGGCAAGGAGCCAATGGTGCTGTTCCAGAACTTGCTTTGACTGTGCTTCCAAAGACACGCCTTACTCTAAGCCTTCACAAGCTCTAGCTCTGCTTCTCATCTTGATCACCTGGCTTCTTGCTAATTTGTCCATGTGTGTGGCTGGCGTTATCTGCGAGTTGGCTTATGAAAAAAGCATGGGATATGGCCTCCACTGATGGCTCAGAATAAAAGGATGCTCCTTCAGTCTTTCCTCAACACAGCAGCTCAAATGGTCCTGCTAAAATGTAAACGTGTCCACATATTGACTCACAGGCTTTGCTTCTGCTTCTCTAAGAATATCTTATCTCACCTAGCCAAGGTCTTCCTAAATGTCTTATTTCTCTTTCCCTTTATAGCAAAATTCTCGAGAGATCTGTCTGTACGTATGGTTTTCAGTTCTTCTCCTCTCATTTTTTTCTTGAACCAATCCCATCAGCCTTCACTCCCACCCACTCCGCTAAGACTGCTTTCAAATCATTGCCAATAACTTCTATGCTGTAAATCAAACAGTCAAGTCACGGTCCTCAACTTAGTTGACCTAATAGCAGCATTTGACACAGACCACTGCCTCATCCTTGAAGCTCTTTCTTTATTTGGCTTCCAGGAAACACAATTGCCCTGCTTTCTTCCTACCTTCCTGTACATTCCATTTAGGCTCCTTTGCTATTTTCCTCCCAACACCTCCAACTTTTAAATGCTAGCATGTGTCAGGGCTCAGTTCTTGTACCTCTTCAGTTTTCTGTCTCTACTCATTCATCCAGTCTCTTAACTTTGAATATTATTTATATGCTGGGACTCTCAAATTCACACCTTCACAGCACACCTCTCCTGCCATGTCCTATTGGATGTCTGACAGGTCTCAATTTAACAAGTCCAAAGCTGAGCTCCTGATGTCCCTGCTTCTCCCATAGTCTTCCCCATCTCAGTTCATGGCAATTCATTCTGCCAATCAGATCACAAATATTCACTTTCTATTATGCCCTATGACCAATCTGCTGATGAATCCTCTCAGGTCTATCTTTAAGAAATATCCAGAATGTATGCACCTCTCACCACTCCACTGTCCCCATCATGGCCAAGCCACCATCATCAGCTGCCTGGACTATTGCCATAGCCCCCCCCCCCCCCGACTGGTCTTCTGCTTCTAATCTCATCCCCTCCCTTCCCCACTTGCAGAAAGGTCTTTTTTTTGTTTGTTTTTTAAGATTTTACTTATTTATTTGACACACAGAGAGACACAGCG